TGCTGCTGCTGCGGACCGCGCAGCAGCAGCAGCAGAAGCAGCGGAGGCGCAGGGCGGGGAGGACGCGGCAAGCGAGGAAGCTGCCAGCGGCCCCTCCATGTTCTTCTCTCGGGCCAAAGAGGTACTGCTGCTGCTGCTGCTGCTGCTGCATGCACAACTAGGGTTTAGGGTTTAGGGTTTGGGGTTTTGACTTTTGCTGCAGGCCTGGTGCACGCAGTGGTATGAAGGAACCAAACGCGCCTTCAAGTCCTTTTCCTGCAGAGTGAGCTGCGGCCTGGCCTAGGGTTTAGGGTTTGGGGGTTTTATTTGATATTTAAGCGCAAAAAGGGTTTTAATTTATTTAATTTGTTGTATATTTCGTTTCTCCGTTAGCTCTCGCGGAGTACCGATTGCAGTTGCGGTGTATCGCCGGCACCCGCCGGGGTGTCTTGAAGAGCTGCTGGCGCCAAACCTGCGAATTAATGGACTAATTACGAGGAATTAATCGGAAATAAAGAATTAATTGATTAATTTTGATTAATTTTGATTAATTGCGATTAATTTCAATCAAATTTGACGGGGTTTGGCGAATTAAAACGCGTTTCGAGCGTGCGGCGCTCAGGTGTACGGGGGCCAGGCGGAGCCGCTGTGTCGGTGGTTTTTGGGATTTGTTCGCCGCGGAGGCCGCCGGCCCTCCACAGTGGAATTAGAACTCCAATATGCGCGACTTTGTTCTTTTTCGGACTTTAAATATCCAAAAAAGGACTTTTTTCCGCAAAGTTCCGCGGAAAAACTCCCCAGCTTTCCGGGTGTACAGACAGCTCCCCCAGCTGTCTGTACACCCCAGACCCTGCGCTCCCCAACACCTCCAGGGAACTCCCAGAAGTCCATTTCTTCTTTTTTTGACTGCGAGGGATTCTCAACAGAGGCCGACGCAGGCTGTAGCCTCCTGCAGCAGCTGCAGCAGCAGCAGCAGGGGACTGTTGGAGAGACCAGTGGTCAGTCCACCCCTGCAGCACTTCATCAGCCGCCGCACTACGACTTCGCAGTGGCCAGCCCGGAAAATCCCCAGGAGGCAGAGCTGCAACAGCAGCAGCAGCAGCAGCAGCAGCAGCAGCAGAGTCTGCATTGCCGCTGAATAGAAACAGCGTTGAGAAGCCGGGCGTTCTGTCGGCACTCAAATGAAAGTCTTTTAAAGTTCTTTTGTCCACTGTTGCCCGAAGATAAATAGAAAAGAGACCAGCAGCAGCTGCTGCTGCAGCAGGAGTTTCTGCTGCAGCAGCGGCTGCTGGGGCAGGAGTTTCTGCTGCGGCAGCTACTGCTCCAGCTTCTGCTGCAGCAGCAGAAGCTGCAGCAGATCTTTCCCCAAGGCAGCGCCAGTTGCGCTGTGGGCATAAGCACTATCTTCATTATCGTAAACAGCAGCAGCAGCAAGAGCAGCAGCAGCAGCAGCAGCAGCAGCAGCGGGGGGCGTTGCAGCTGGTGGCTGCTGCAGCAGCAGGTGTGTAGCTGCTGCTGCAGAGGAAAAGCGCGAGGGATAAAAGTTGACTTTTCGTGGTTTTGCAAACTTCGAAAAAGTTTTATTTTAATTTGTTTGCATGCATGCAGCTTTTGTTTTGTTTTCTTTTTGCTGCTCCCAGTGCTGCTGCTTCCAGTGCTGCTGCTGCATCTTGGCAGCGCTGAGAATCATTATTCGTCTTCCTCTCACAATAGGTCCCGTTGCTGCTGGTGCTGCAGCAGCTGCTGCTGCTGCTGCGGCGGTTGCTGCTGCTGCAGCGGCTGCTGCTGCTGCTGGGTTCTGCCCCAGTTGCGGTGTAGAGACACCGCAGGCAGCAGCAGCAGGAGAGGGGCGGAGTTTTTAAATTGCTTTCTTTTGGGATTTCTTTTAATTTATTTTTGTGTAAAGAAGAAAAGCTTTTTGAAAGCAATTTGCTGCTGCAGCTGCTGCAGTGGCAAGTTGCTGCTGCTGCAGGTGGCAAGAGAGCTTTTGAAGAAGTCCATTAAACAATTAGTTTAATTCAAATTCATTTTGCTTCCAAACTTTCCAGAATCGCAAAATTCCAAATGATTAAAATAACTAAACTTCGCAACATTTCAAAATAATATTTAAAGTTTACTTTGCTTCCCAGTTCTTTCCGCAAGAAATGGTGTTAATTATTACCTCTAAAGGACGCAACTCCAATCTGCTGCTGCTGCAGCAGCAGCAGCTGCTGCTGCTGCAGCAACGAAAAGGGAGGAAGCAGCGGGGGT